TCTTTCCCTTTCTTTTTTCTTTCAAAAGACTTGGTCCCAAATGCCAAAGGATACTAATGCCACGAACATTAATTCTTCCTATATTAATATAATAACTAAACGACACCCATCGTAGCAAAAGGGTTAATCCGGAGCAGATATTTGGCACTGCTTGCCGATGATACTCACCCAGATTTGGCAAAGTTGTACCAAAGACTCGTAACGATATCGATCATCTTGTGGTCTTGCTTGCTGAGCGGTATGTGCTTGAACAACTGCTCCCCGACAGGGAACAGATACTGGAGTTCATCCGCGTGCGACACTCCGTAATCCTTGGTCGGATCGCCAAATATCATACTGAACGATGCGCTTCCTTTGTATGCGAGATAGTAGGAATACACGGGAGAAGACTGCTTCTCGAGATAGGCGCGAATGGAAGTACGAGCTGCGTGCGTGAACCAAGCGTCGCTGTACATCTGCGAGATATTGCGAGTTATTCGAGTGCACGGAGTGTGCGGGATTGAGCAAGTGAAAAATGAAAATTCAGCCACGCGAAACCGCAGATCTACCAAAGCGTATCATTCATTAGCGTTCTATGTTGACTCGAACGAAGATCGTGGCTCCTTCTACCGGCCGGTATCTTATTCGGATCGCGATCTAGCCGGTGGCCTTTGTCACGCAAATGTAAAATTCCATGTGCGCGTGTCAATGATCCCGGTAGCGAGCGTACACAGGGAACGTGGTTGTAATTCACCATGCGAATTAAAAATTCTAATTTATGTAAACGCATACTCACATCGATCACTTTGAATCGCGTAGAATTGTCTATCGGGGCCTCGCCGAAGTAGAATTTTCGTATCTCGGAGGCCAGGCGTTTCTCTTCGCCTTTGGCACACGTTTCACCGAACAGCAACGTTATCGGTGCGATGTCGAGGAAGTCTTTGTCCAGCTTCTTAATCAAAGCCCCGTTGTTCCGTTCGTATAATCCTGACAACGAAAATGTAGGCTTAACTCTTTGCGGCACAGGACTTCGGATAATTAGATAGACCCACGTTGCACAGGAATTTTATTGCGCTTTAGACGAAACAAAATTCGCATGTTTTTACTAATAAAGGAATCGCATAAATTTTTACGTAAATAAGACGTTAAACTAAAGACTAAAACTGTCCCACCATGCTTGACACTTTTAATCCCAGCGTGCCCCAAAGAGTTGAAGCGTGAGCGTGGCGCGAAGATCGATAAAGTTGACAAGAAAAAAGCAATCGCACACGATGCACGCCTAACAAGAAATCCTGCGTTTAATCTGGAAATACCTGGTGCTACAAGGGCTCCTTCCTCCGACGTAATTCCTGTCATCCATGGTATGTCTAACAGACGGCCCTGCTTCGACGAAACTGCGGGATCTTCCGTTAGGAAAGCACTAGGGTGAACAGGTTCAATTACCGGTCTGAAGGGTATCATCGGACAGTAACCAAATACCTAATAGAAAGTAGAAAGAGAGATTAGGTTCCCGTGCGTCGACGTTGCTGAAGAACACCGGGCTATTCTGTCGTCTTCTTTAGACATAATTACAAAAATGAGTCGAACGGTTGTCAAACGTTCTCTATACGCTGTCAATCCATAAACTATATCTGTTTCGAAGTAGGTACAGATATTTTTAATTCGAATACCTAACAGAAAATAGAAAATAGAAAGAGAGATTAGGTTCTCGTGTCTCTACGTTGCTGAAGAACACCGGGCTATTCTGTCGTCTTCTTTAGACATAATTACAAAAATGAGTCGAACGGTTGTCAAACGTTCTCTATACGCTGTCAATCCATAAACTATATCTGTTTCGAAGTAGGTACAGATATTTTTAATTCGAATACCTAATAGAAAATAGAAAATAGAAAGAGAGATTAGGTTCTCGTGTCTCTACGTTGCTGAAGAACACCGGGCTATTCTGTCGTCTTCTTTAGACATAATTACAAAAATGAATCGAACGGTTGTCAAACGTTCTCTATACGCTGTCAATCGATAAACTATACCTATTTCGAAATAGGTGTATCGTATAGATGTAATTATCCGTAGAGATATTTTTAACTCGAAGCAATCTTTTACCGTCTTTCTACAATATTATCTTATTATATGTTATCTTTTACAATAAAAGAACCGTGAAGGTAATCGTTCGATGCTGATAAAAACGAGGAAACTAGATGCCATAATTTCAAAGCGATACTTGCTTCTTTCCGTGAACGCGAGTTTTCTCCATTCGACGCGGTATTGGCGTTGTCTGTGTCATAAAAAATCGAGAGTTTCGGTTCAGTTCTTTCGTTACATATGGAAAACAGATTATCCTTGGGAAAGAGAAACCACGTTCCTTCAAAGTCCCCAGCTCGATCGACATTTTACTCAAATCTACGTGAAACGCGTTCGGAAGGTGCGTCACGGAGGTAGCAAGTCTATGCTGGCCAATACGCTCGAGTTATAGCTACGTATTGTATCCGCTTTCACTTCCAGTCGTGCTATAACCGACTTCCCTGTCTTCGAACTGTTCCCATCTTATAGTTTCAGTTTCCTCCTCGCTCGTGTCTGCTCGTCGCTCATAAACATAGCGATTAAAAGGAGTCACATGGACTGTGATTTTCAATCGTTGCGACCACAGAATGCACGTTCAGGAATGCACGAAACTGGTTTTTCCACAAGTTGGTACCGTAATTAACAATGGATTATCGTGTTACGTTTCTGTTTGAACCAGCTTCTGAGTCAGTTCCCGATTGAAAGAAATCGTTGAACGAGTTAACCAGATTCGTACCGATCCGTCAGATTTATCGCGTTAACTTTTATTCAAAGATTCATTTCGATTTGCCAAGTATCGCGTTTATGGAAATCAACTAAACGCGTCGGTGTAAATATAGCCACGAAATGAAAAATTTCCATCGGAGACTTGGAGGATTGCGAATATTGACACGAATAACAACGGACGTACGAATGTTCCATAAAGATGAATAAATATTTAGCGGGGAACATGGAATGCAAGGTATCGGCGTTATAATAGCGCCATTACGTATTACGAAATCGCGTAGTACCTGCGTTTTTACTCGTTCCAGTTATCGAGGTGCACGCTTATATAATAAGAATCAATTTACAAACGTGACCCTCTATGGTTCTAGACGCGTAGTGTGCCATTTCAATGCCAAGGCTCCGCGTCCCGTGTAATTATCAGCGCATAAGCGGTAAAATCTTGTTAATCAGAACTCGTTTCACCAGATACGTATCTGGTTAACCCGTGTAACACGTTTATCGAGAGAAGGAATTTAAGAAACCTCGTTAACATTTTATTTCGCGAATTTAGAAAATTCGCACGAAAAGGTGAACACTGCTCGAATTATCGCACTTAATTCGCTTACGAAATAACTTGATTCGCATTTTTTCGATGATCCAGTCCGGATAAATCTCGATAGAATTGCTGATCGAAAGGCGTAAAATTGATCTGGATTATCGGGTGCAAGGGGAATTATCGTGTTGGTAAATCCAGATTAAATTGACATTAACCAGACGTTGCGTTTCACGCTGCATCGGATATGCGAGAGATATAAGGCCGCTTTCATTTTACCGGTTTATTCGTTAAATGCCCGGCTGAAAATGTCTTGGCGTGACTAAATTCAACGGATCGTAAACCTCGTCGATTGGATAGCTGACAGCAGCGTATGGCAGTTCGCAGATGCGAGATGATACGACGTAGACGGACAAGCATCGTGACACGTGAATTATACGTGACGATAATTAAAGCAGTTATTTATTAAAAGGTTCTCGATGGCAGGAGATAAACTATAATTTCCGAAATTATATATCAGTCGTATTCCCCTTTCTTGGTACAGTGACTCGATATTCGCGTTACACCGTTTATCCTTAATTAAAGATCACAGCCTGGAATGGCTGCCGAAAGAATGTCGAGTATTTTAAGTGGTTCTTATTTTTGGCACTTTCTCGAAGGTTGCCGGTAGACCGGTGCAGTGTATTTTTAGTGGAGCAATTGTTTTTAATATCCCCGCTTCGAGCGGTCTAATTTTTATCCTGTACGATTATTATGGATATACACGTTACCCTCTGCATGAAACAATGTTGCGAATAATATACCCGAACGTATAATCGTGAATTTTAAATTGCATAATTGGCTCACGGATATAGTCCTGTTCGAACAGATAGCCCAAAGTAACAACGAGGAGGATAATTGCACTTACTTGGAAAGAACGATCGGTTGCGATAATATCGACGGCATTCTTCTTTCGCAGACAGTCGACGAGCTGTTTCGAGTTTTTCGAAGGACAACCCAAGAGTTCAGCCACCTTCGATGCCTTCTTCTTCGCTGAACCGGGCTTCGCCATGGCCCACGGACAATGCCCGTTACCGCTTTGAGAGATCGCGCGTTGGAAAAGTCCTGTTTCAGAGCACACGCGTCACGACTAAAATTATGTAATATTTTTTCCCGACCATCGAAGATCCTCAGATACAATGGATAATAGGTCTATTCCACGGGGACATGTAATTAGACTTTTCATCTCTCCTTGGAAATCGACCTTGAAAGACATTTCTAGACTACGTTCTTCCCCGCAAACTCATCTCGAATTCAAAACGAGCGTTTGTGGGAATTCTGATACGCGATAATTTATTTTTATTATTCGCATGCCTAATTGGCACCTGTTATGAGACTCCATGTTTAAAGGTCGTTTAATCACGAGAATTATGTCGTAATTAACGTAAAGTGGATTTCGAACCGCGAAAATGTTCATGGCGGATGTTTGCATTGCGTTATTTCAAACTTATCGTGCGTTTTGTTGTAACTGCAAAGAAGGAACTTTGAAACATTCAATTATCCGTGCCTTATACGAGAAAATGGTAATTGCAAGCGAATTCGAAACTCATAAAAGACAGCTATTTCTGTGCACTGGTTCTGTCGCAATTCTGTTAGATCTAAATGAGATGTAAACTTGGTAGTTTTAACTTTTGCCAATGATTCCGTTGTGGATACCGAGTAAATGGATTTCACAGTTGATTAAATGCTAGAGTAATTTTTTTTTACGGCATCCGTTAAATTTTATGAGCCCAGGTAATCACCGTTCGAAAAGTCTGACTTTGTTACACGCCTACTCGATGTACCAGGTGTCCGTTTCAATCATGTGCGATGAATTATCTTCTAAGATAGCTAGTATAGAATCAAGGTTTTCATACAAGTTATTTGGTATGTAGCACGTTACGTAGTGTAAATACCTTTCTTTGTACTCGGTATAGTGCAATACGTAAGAATGCGATTACTTCCAAATGGAATGTAATATGTTCATATGCATTATGGTATGTAAGACGATTTCAACGAGCTGCTAACGAAATCACGAAAATATTTCCGATATACTTAACCCTTTGCACTCGACGATCTTTTGGCTGAAGACGAGTAAGATTTCAAAGATTTTCTGCTATAAAGTTGGCGATATTTCTTTCAGTAATAAATAAGAAATCGTATAATAATTAACACTTAGAATTATTTGATTTCGATAGTTCGCACACATAGTTCGTTACATTGTCTTAAATTTGACATATTAATTAATATCGATTTTCGAAATTTTATCTAATGGCGACTGACGGTCATCATTTAATCAGATTCTAAAGATCGTTGTTAATTAATATCTCGAATTTAAAATTGCCCAACGACTCATGGGATATCTAGGTAAAATAATTCTACGTTTTCCAATTAATTTGCATTTCTTGTATACTGTTTTGAAAATATCGTCGACATTATGGCAGAAATTCTTCGAATTACTATTTTCCTGTAACGAAAAAGTCGCCGAGTTCAAAGGGCTGAATTTCATTTTCGTTCTGGTTATTGATCTTCGAACTCCGTTCTATCATTTGTAAATTACCTCTGGTCAAATCGCTCATCATGTGATAGTGTACACTAGCGCCACCCGCGCTTTCTCCGAAGATAGTCACACGGTTAGGATCGCCACCAAAAGCAGCGATATTTTCATGAACCCATCGAATGGACATTGCCTGGTCCTTTAATCCATTGTTTCCAGGACACACTTTGTCCTCCGTGCTGAGAAATCCTATCGGTCCAAGCCTGTTAGAGATAATCAGTGATCATTATATTAGTTATATCGTCGATTAGGGAAATTTGTCACCTGTAATTCATGGTAACGAGGATCACATCGTGGTCCAACAAGAATTTGGGGTGATAGAATTCCGAGTGTCCTGCGCCACAGATCCAACCGCAACCGTGGATCCAAACCATAACTGGGTAACTTTCCTTTGATTCGCCACCCTTAGTGGGCAACTTCGGTGTGTAGACGTTCAAGTAAAGGCAATCCTCGTCACCGAGGATGTTGTCATCGTGAACATAGACGTTTCTTTGGGTGCATATGTTAGCGTCTTTCTTGGCAGATCGCACTCCTTCCCAGGCTTTTGCTGGCTTCGGTGCCTTCGAATAAGTACCCATTGTTGTTAAGTTTCATCGTTGAGATTAGATATTGCAAAGCATCGTTGAGATTAGATATTATAAACCTGACATGTTGCACGTAAATATGCCTCCTTATCGTACGACCAGAAATAGGTATTGGCAAATTAATTAGCGTAATATCGGTCACCTTTTTAATGGTAATCAGTGCTTAATACGGATTAAGATTACATACGTGTGAAGGTGTTCACGTAAGAGTTCCGTGTAAACATGGATATAAAAGTGTTGAAATTTTTCCTTACATCAACCACGCAAACTGTATATGGCTAATGAGAGTTTAGAAAGTGAACTTCTGATGTAAATGTTCGGAGAGAGAATACACGGCGAGAACGCACTGACACGTGTTTCATAGCGAGGGAAAACGACAATTTTGCGATCTCGTGAAAAAATATGAGTTTTTCAAACAGGCTATTCGAGTAATATCATTTTAATCGAAGAAATATTCGAGCTGGTTACATTTGGAATGTAACCTAAATAAGTAACAAGATTGATCGAGTAGATTGACCACCGTATAATTATTGTGAATAACTACTGGTTTATCCAGGGAGGAGGTAAACTCTTTCGAGTAGAGCGAGTTTAGGAGTTGTAAAAGTTGTTTGATATATTCGTGTATATATTTCGTAACAAATTGAAAAATTACATCAGTGGAAGCGTTCACGAAAACAGGTTCCAATATTATGGTGCAAAGGGAAAATTATTTGCATCATGTCATAGTCGAAACATCTTGGATTCCGTGTTTTAAAAGTTTACAAATACGAATAGATTATGGTATTTTATTTCAATTTATTCCAAATGTAATATCATCAGAATACGCGAAGCTCTGTAAAAGTACCTAGATTCTGAAACATCTGGTCTCAAATTCACTCATTGTCAGATTCTCCTCGTTGATAGCAAAAAAGATAGATTTTTATATCATTATTTAAGGAATAAAGTTACATTGGTATAGCGTGACATATGTGTAAATAATATGAATCGTGTCTATTAATAATAATTATAAACTGTCGAGTTAATAGTGTACACTGTCATGCTACTCTTGTAGCAATACTTTGAAACTTGTAACTTGTTAAGTATTCATCAGGCATCTCTTTCCTACTTTGCAATAGAATCATTAACAAGGAAAATCTCGCGGCATTAGGAAATCTTTTATGTAATTCGACGCATCTGTAAGCAGATACACCTGCTCAAAAAAACGTTTCCTCAAGAATTTCCATAATTTTCCTTAATATATAATTAACATAATTCCCATCATTGGCATATACTTTTTTGCATTTGTTAAATAACGTCCATTCACTAGCTTCAAATAATTATATTCCTGGCGAGTTAATAAATGTGATTTTAATCACTCGTGCAGGGATAAAAAATGATTCCTCATTTAATGGAGAAATTAATAAGAGAAGTTATTAACCATCGAATTGAATGTTTCGATTAGATTTTAAATACGAATTAAAATTATGTTACAGAATGCAAAGGAATTTCTCATCGCGTTGGAAACGACAAAATTGCGAACTTACCTGGAACCTGAGCTCGTTAAGGGGTGGTACCGCGTACGGTATGCCTCGAAACGCTGCGATCTCTCTACCCTTTCTGGTCTTCATGGTCAGTCCCAGCAGCGTGCCATTTTTTATTTTTACTACCGGTTCATCGGCCGCGATAAACTCGAAGAAGCACACGAAGACGACGCAGAGCTGCAGCAGGTCTCGATATTTCGCCATTTCGGAATTGAGCGAGGGAATCACACCGTTGGTGCTTTTAAAGCATAGATATTTCCCTGTTGACGCATGACGAAAAGAAGAAATAGATTATCACGTATCCGCGATATGCGTGTACGACTTCATTCGACGTCATAATTTCGACGAATACGTTCTTGTACGAGGTAGAGCAATTTTCCTCCGGATAAACCCGTTCGTTTCGAAAATTAGAATTCAGTAATTAGCTATTTATTCCGTGGAAAGTGGCATCGAGTGTATTGCAAGCAATTGCAATATAACCGAGGCAAAAGAGCCGGTCGAGTTAAGCGCGTATCGATTAATCCAATTATTAGCAATATGATACGATCGATAAATAATGACTCGACAAAAGTAGCAAAACGCGATAATCGACGTGAAAGAAATGTTCGTACAGAATTCGTTCTATTATTAACCAAAGAGCATGTTAATCGACGAAATCGTTACCGATGCGTGCGATTTACTTCGGAAACGATTGTACCATACTAAACGAGATTATATACGTACAATTGTAGATAATGATTGGTTTATCGCAGAAGAAACGGAGAAAATTTTGGAGTCGGTACGACCGGAGGTAAGACGCGTGTGCGACCCGCGAAGGCAAGACCGCGACTGTTCCAGGTGAGAGTCGTTCCTCGGATCGTTAGTTCGATGATGTTGGGACGTATGATTCTTCGGCACTCACACGGCCACGCGTACCTTGGTCATTACGGGAGTACAGATGTTTCCGGCTACTTAACCGAGATCGGTATTACGTGTCCTTCACATTTATGGTCAAACCGTGGTACGAGATTTCGGTTAAAAATCGATAAATTCTTTCCATCGTTGAAATTCAGATCGAACAGGAAGCACGAAACGCTTAATAATGTATTTATAATTAACGAGTGATCCATTACACTTTTCATGCCACTCTGTTTTTAAGGTTAATAATTTCCTTCTCGATCGAATTTAATCGAATTTAATCGAATTGTCGTTGGGTTTCTTTTTTGATTAATAACTCGAAAGGTGAAGAGTCGAAAGTTAACCGTTTGTTTTGTTTATGCCAATATTTCCAGTAATATTCGCATTTGTAGGAAGTATGTTCGTCAAGCGATTATTTGCCGAGCGAAGATTATCGAATCATACGATTTTCTACTTTATCTATCATTGGTTATGCTTTGAAGCTGCTAAAAAAATTCTAATATACGTTAACAACGAATATATAGTAATATTCTTATAATTGAATCTACCTAAAGTTCGTAATTGCAAATATTGTTAAGTAAAACGACATTATTTTTTATCAAATATTTATTACCAACAGACAAGATTAAAATATAATAGGTTTACCAGTAGAAAATCATTTGTAATTCTACATTTATAATATCTTCTTGTCGATTATCTGATATATTTATATGTACATATAATAAATTTATATATCGCAGGAATTAACATTAACGCGTATCTTATTATCGTATTACAGCGCGGCAGACATCCACGCAGCTTCCGCTGTTCACCGCTAGATGGCCCCGGCGCCGAACTCCCAGCATTCCATGGGTCGTTCGAAACGGGAGATGCGCGCGCGTTCGATGAAGACATGCGCGAGAAGCGGCCGCAGTCTCGACAGTCAGTGCATGGCGGCCCGAGGCCCATCGATATCGTATCGTGCAGCACTCGAGATACGCGTTCGAATACACGAGTGCGTCCGTGGTGCGCCGACACAACTTCTTTCTTCCTTCAAGCTGCTCGGTCGTAAGAGTATCGGCGTCGTGGTTGACACAGTGCGTGACGCTTGTGCGACAGGATTTCTCGTCCTCGCCGGATCTCGTGGATTCGTCGAAATCGTCAGACGACAGCGAGAGAGCAGGGACCATCGTTCCGGTGAGTGTTCGCATACAGCTATATTTTAAATCGTGTCTGCAACCATGCATGGCGTTGTACGACACCCATTTTACCTACGTTATCGTAACTGGCTACCGACCGGAGTGACACGACACTCCGATTCGATTCGAAAAAGTGACATTTAGTTATTCTTTTGCTTTGAATTTCTCTCGTACCAACGTCGAGTTATAATATCCACGCGATTCGAATCGAAGAGTAGGAACGATTAGCGAGGACAATCGGTATTTCTCGCGTTGCCATATTAGCGCGGATATTTTAGGAGCACGAGGGCGGCGTGTTCGGACAGGCACAAGACGTATATACTAACCGTAGCACGACGTATCCGGCAACAACGTTCAACGATCTGGAAAACATCGGAAGGACAAACGGTCGACTCGGTGTTAATAGTACGGATGTCTCCATTTCTCGGAATCGTAGACGAGCCAGACTTTCGAGGCTCGTCCTGTTATTTACACTTTTTCATTTCGTCTTTGCTATTCGAACGTCCGTGTGGCGTCCACACCCACAACGTTGCCAAACGCCACAGGTGTGGTCATTGACTCGGATCGAAAGGTTTGTTGTTATTTCTCGACTAAGAAAAGAGACGGTTATCGCGTGGGTTTCTTCGAAATCATTTGCTCGACATGGAATTTCGCCGGCGAGCACGAGCGACGCGTATGTACCTGTGACATCACTTTCACGGCTCCTACCGGCTACGTGGGCGAGCAGCACGCTCGATTCGAACAAACCGAACAAGGTTAACGCGGGCGGGCAAGGTTAACGTTAATTCGTGCTGCCTTTACGTTTCGCGGTTCCGTGAGGCTTTGGAGGTTAGCGCGCGAGATTTCAAATCTACTTTTTCGCGTTCTACGTGTATCCTATATACGTAATAGTATTTTCCGAAAACGGAAAGCTTTATTATCTCTACTATTGCTTTACTCGTTAATAATAATTATTAATTTTACAATTATCACAACGAAGCCGATATATTTTATTTATTTAAAACAATATATATTTTATATCGATATTATTCGTATAATTCAAATTTTTACGTCCTGCATTTACGATGCTACCGATAATTTGCGTTCTTGCACGTTTCAACGTCGCATGTGTATATATCTTATAATACTTGGCGTAAAGTGGTGCGCATTAACGCGGCTCGTATTCGTTACCCGGCACGCGTAATTTCCGTGTAATAAGATTCGCTCGATTCGAGGATCGACTCGGTGCAACCAGTTTCTGTGAAGCGAACGAGGTTAACGCGGAAGAACAAGGTTAACGTAGACGACACCAGATGCTCGCGCGTCGCAGCGGCGCGTAATCTGGTTTTATCAGTGGAAGCGAGTTGGGAACCGTTGCTTATCAATTCACGGCTGGAAACAGAGGTTCCCAGCGCGCGATGGCGAACTCGTTGGATCGTCTCCGTTTACCGGAAGCGGAAACGATTCGTTGTGCGACTCCAGGTCTCGTGCACTCGCATTTAATTACGATAATAACGATAGCGACTGCGATGGTTACGGATAGGTAAGGGGCATAGAAATCACGAGATTATGCCTAATGGAGTTTAATGTAGGCTCCGATGTGTTAACGAATGTTGACTCTCCCATGTTTGGCCAGGTTAATATCGTGGAAGAGGAACCGGAGCTTTGGAAGCTGGAATAATTTCCAACGTATCTCGACTCTTTAGATTTATCTCTTTGGGAAGGAAAAATAATCGTTAAGGCCGATTTTGCTCTCATTTTAGCACCCTTAGCGTTACCCGGTAAAGCGATATAAAAATATACGAAGAAAATACACGCGTAAAAGGCATCATCTTTTACAGACTTCAGTTTATTATACCTCAACACGGGAATCGTTAAAACCGTCGAAGTAACTGGTCTTGGACTTTTTATTTTCGAAATTGTCGAAAGTAAACAGGTGCTTTCGGCAAAATTACCGTTGACTTTTATCGATCATGCATGCTCGTATATTTCTATTTACGCATTTCGAATGGCGATTTATGTATATCGTATTTAAACGCGCGTTACATTGGCAATTGTCAATATCCGCAATCTGTGCTATTAGCTCCGAAACTCGCGCATTGAAAACCCGGCAAATATTCGCGTTCTTTGACGCGCGTTAATTTATCGAATCACGGGAGAACAATATTCCTCGCTCGTCGCGTATATCGAATATTCGCATCCGCGTGTGTTTACCTGTTTCGTCGCGAATATCCAACGTTCGACCACTCCGCGTACAGAGTCGCGAACGATTACTTTGATGCGAACGATTCCGAGTGGAATCGAATCATCCACCCTCGAGCCATCTTTCCTCAGCTGCTGTCGCGGCCGCAATTCTCTCGCGATTCCACGATTTCTCGCGATGTCACGATCTCCCGCGATTCCGCAGCCTCTCGCAATTCCGCGGTTTTTCGCGATTCCGCGATCTCTCGCGATGTCACGATCTCCCGCGATTCCGCGATTTTTCGCGATTCCACACCCTCTCGCAATTCCTCCAATTTTTCGCAATTCCGCAATGCCTCGCAATCTGCGTTTTTTCGCGATTTCGTGATGATTCACAATTCCGAGGTTCTTCGCGATCTCTCGCGATTCTGCAGCCTCTCGCAATTCCGTTCGCGGTTTTTCGCGATTCCGCGATCTCTCGCGATGTCACGATCTCCCGCGATTCCGCGATTTTTTGCGATTCCGCACCCTCTCGCAATTCCGCAATGCCTCGCAATCTGCGTTTTTTCGCGATTTCGTGATGATTCACAATACCGAGGTTCTTCGCGATCTCTCGCGATTCCGCAGCCTCTCGCAATTCCGCGTTGCCTCGCAATTCCGCGGTTTTTCACAATTCCGCGATCTCTCGCGATGTCACGATCTCCCGTGATCCCGCGATTCCGCGATTTTTCGCGATTCCACACCCTCTCGCAATCCTCCAATTTTTCGCAATTCCGCAATGCCTCGCAATCTGCGTTTTTTCGTGATTTCGTAATGATTCACAATTCCGAGGTTCTTCGCGATCTCTCGCGATTCTGCAGCCTCTCGCAATTCCGCGGTTTTTCACAATTCCGCGATCTCTCGCGATGTCACGATCTTCCGTGATTCCGCGATTCCAAGATGTCTCGCAATTCCACGGTTTTTCGCGATTCCGCGATATCTGGCGATTCCTCAATCTCTCACAACTCCGCGATTTTTCGCGATTTCTCGATCTCTCGTGATCGGTACGCTTCTCCGCGAAATCGGGGAGATTTCCTAGGTTTTCGCCGCGAAACGAAGCGTTAGAGAGCGAAACGAGAGACACGTCGGTGTTACCGACGCTCGTTAAACTTGGCGTCACGAGGAACGTTAAGAAGACGAGAACAATAGGTTAGCGGTGACCGGTTAGGCGGGAGGGAGAACGGATCCTCTCTCTGTTCGCTTTTTCGCTCCGTTGTTCCGTTCTTCTCGCGCTACGAGCGCGAACAGAAGCATATTTATGTAGGTACAGTGAGAGTACTCTTGTCTCGAGAACGGTCACTCGAGTGGTGAATTAGTAGAGTTAGCGACACCGTTTCTCTCCCATTCCCTTCTTCCCCGTCGATCGCTCTGCTCGCGATTTCTTCCCATTTCGCAACGTCGTTTCGCAACCACTGTAGCGGAGATGTGTCTTTCCCTTGCCGATTGTACGAGGTATCGCGAACGCGATTGGCACACCGTCTCGTCCCGTTCGGGGTCATTCGCATCGAACGATAATTCGCGTTACGCGTTTTCCATCGGAGTTCTACTCCCTGTCGCAGATCGGACTTTC